CGCAGGAGGGGAAGACCCTCTATGAGATGGATTGATTCTGTGACTGGGTAATCGGGATGGGTGTGTCAGAGGCGGTGCGGTTGGCGCAGGATAGAGCAGGGTTTAAGGCTGTTGTGCATAGGGTCGCTATGAGTCGGAACCGATTCGACGGCACATAACAACAACAACAACAACTAATTTAGGCTGACTTTAAAAAAACTTTTGGTGTATCAAGAATGATGCATATTGTACAAATTCAACTAAGAAATTAGAGTAGAAAATAATTAACTCTGCAAACTGGAGTTCATTTTTGTTCCTCAAAAATAAGTAATGTAAATTCTAAATCCTCAGGCTATAGTTAGCGAGCTCTGCTGCCCTAGTGGGTAAACAACTGGACTGCCAACCTAAAGGTAACTGTTTCCAATCCATCAGCCGATCCCTCATGAAAATCAAGCTCTCTATTTTTACTCTTTAATGGCTCTGAACCTTGCTAGAAGGTCAGCTTGGAGGCCTATGCAACACCTCAGTACACACACACACACACACACACACACACACACACACTCATCAACACAGCTGTAGTTACAATCACTACAATCTACAGACTTGAAAACCCAAATGAGGGTCAGTCATGAGTCAGTTCTGACTTGAAGGTATTGTGGGTTTAGTTTTATAGGGGTTTCAACACTGAACTGACACTCACCTCGAAATTTGTTGCACCTGGACATCAGGCCAGGGATGGGTATTGCATGGTATACTGGGTTTACCGGCACCGGCATGCGCAGCTGCACAGACTTGCTCCTGAAAAGAGGAAGAGTCAGTCAATCACTCAAATGCAAAAGAAATCATCATAGATGATAAAATGATTAATTGAAAATTATTTCATCAGAATTAATTGAAGATATGTTGTGTATGTACATCCAGGATCCCTGAGATGAGATTATGCTGCTTGTTTAAAAGAAAGAAGAAAAAAGAAAAAAAAAGATTGTGTTTCTTGGTCGCTTCTTTGTTTACTCTCCTTGCAAACTTTCATTAGAAACCTTTGTTTCTAATTGGGACCTCCTTACCAACGGTTGTTGTTGTTTGTTGTTATATGCTGTCAAGTCGTTTGGGACTCATAGCGACCCTGTGTACTACAGCCCTAAACCCTGCTCTATCCTGTGCCAATCGCACTGCCTCTGACACACCTATCCCAATTACCGCAGTCACTGAATCAATCCATCTCATGGAGGGTCTTCCCCTCTCGCACCGTCCCTCTACCCTCCCAAGCATGATGTACCTCTCCAAGGGCCTGTCTCTCCTCACAACATGCCGAAAGTATGTTAGATGAATCCTTGCCTCCAAGGAGTAACTTGGTTTAACCCTCTCTAAGACCAATCTGTTTGTTTTCTTGGCAGCTCAGGGTACATTCAATACTCTTCTCGAGCACCACAGCTCAATGGCTTCAATTCTCCTTCTGTCCTCCCTAGTCTTTGCCCAACTTTCTGATGCATAACAAGTTATTGCAAAGACCATGGCCTATATCAGGCGCACCTTAGTCTCCAGAGGGACACCGTTGCTCTTGAGTACTTTAGAGAGGTCCCTAACAGCAGACTTTCCCATCACAATACCTCTTTTGATTTCTTGACTGCTGGTGCCCAGAGTGTTGACCGTGGGGCCGAGCAAACTGAAGCTGTGAACAATCTCAATCTCTTCGCCATCCATCCTGATGCTACCAATTGGTCCAGTGGTGAGAATCTTTGTCTTCTTGACA